ACAGAAGAGACTTCACAAAGGGATATTCTCCCGTTTAGTAAAAGGATACGTTATAATGCCAGAAAGCAGCCAGTAATCGTGTCGTCTGTGCCAGATCTCATACGTCTTCTTGGTTACAGTTGCTGCTCTTTCTTCATTCTGCCATAATGAGTGCAGCTCTGCAGGAAGGAGAGGAGAGTGAGTATTGCAGGCTTCAGGTCAAGTCCACTGGTTGGAAGGTTCTCCAACCATGGCCATGTTAAACAGAAAAAGGGCCACTGTGACCATAGTGAGACTTTATTACCAGCAAACCCGTGAAATTCCCAGGAATTCACACATTGCAGAAGCAGGTTTTTAAAGAAGAACTTAAGTCAGCAAGATCTGCCTTTCCTCCAGCGATGTGGAGTCTGAGCTCCCTCATCAACAGACAGCAAAACTCTCTCCTGAGCATGGAAGTCAATTCATTTCAGCACCAAATCATGCTGAGAATGTACACCAAGCTGTGCATGAGTACTAGACAAGGAGTAGCTGGCAGGCAGAATTTTTTTTTAATGAAGAAACACTTTTTTGCAATAAAGTTCTTCCTGCCAGCAAATCATTACATTTGCACTTAGTTCTACTGTAAATATTTACTCGCATTATAATGACAAGTCATCAACATAACAGAATTCAGCTGTTCGGGCTTCAAACAGAAACGCTGCTTAAAGTGGCCCTATCAGTAAAACTTAAACATCTATTCATTAGCCGCCCCTCCTCTCACCCATGTAAATGTATTAGTTTAAAGCTTAAGAAAAAGCAAACCCTTATCAGGGCCTGTTCACATGAATTTCAGTTTCTGATCAGGTCCGGATCTGCAGACGTGGTGCTGTGTTTTTGCCGCGTTCCAGTTAAAAAAAAAAAAAAAAATTTTTTTTATTTTTTTGCTAGAGTGGGGCTGTCAGAATGTTAGCTGCAGTGCGTTTGACGCGTTTTCGGACCGTACAAAATGTGACATGCAGTATTTTTCTGTCGTAACCTGAACGGACTGCGCACGTGAGAACTGTAGCCCATAAAACACATAGGGATACATTTTTAGTGCAGGAGCGTACGGATCAGGTCAACACAGAAAACGGACGTCGTGTGAACAGGCCCTAAATGTACCTTACCATAGTTTCTGGCTGCCAGCACTTTTGCCTAGGCATCAGTAACCCCACACAACTTCCTGGCAAACTTGGGGGGATGCCAATCTTGCAAAAATGTACTCCTGCACTGTGCATTCCCACACTGCTGCAAGATTTGGGATCCTCAGGTATCCCAAGAGGTTAGGGAAAGGCTGTGGAATGCTGCTGGTGCCTAAGTGAACAAGCTGAGGCTAGCAAACTGAGATTAGGCAAGTTTTAAAGATCCACTTTATTAGTAAAGACAACTAGTGACCCTTACAGGTACAATATTCTGCAGCATCTTCTATAAAGCCACATTCATTCAGGTTGTGTGTCATAAGTGCATGTCGTCACAAGAATATGATCCTTGCAAACTCTTACACGTTGCAGAATTCTTACCTGTGAAACCACCATCCGCAATGTTGAACATGAATCTTTGTTTGGTGGCAACAACCTTCTTCTTCTCCTCCACAGCATCTTTAGGCGTCTCTCCGTTTTGTAATGGGACTGGTGGGACCTCTTCTGGTGGAGGAAGCAGAGATCAGAGTTTGAGTCGTGTCATGTGTCGTCACAGGGCAGAACAGCAACAAGTGTAGAAGACACTCACCTTTCTTATCATCCACCGCGATCACGTCATCTGATTTATCTGCCTCTGCTGGAAGAAAAGGAAAGGCTTAGAGATCAGACAGTAGAAAGACTAGAAAGACATTCCCCGTCTAAAGCGGGGATGAGAAACTGAACGGCAGTCAATTATACTTTTAAGCCTTTCAAACATAAGGACTACAAGGAATATTCCCCAACACACTGATCTAAAACAATTTAGAGGCAATAGGCTTGTATTTCAAGTAATCCGAGAGATAAAAACCAAGATGGTCTACCACCTAAGACACCAAGCTAAAATTGTGCTCATTCTTCCCATGCAGAGGGGAAGTTGACAAGTGGAGGAGTCATTCCTGTCTGCTTGCTGTGCCCACCTTCCCATGGACAGGGTTTATACCCCTAAAGACTGCTGTGTCCTCTGATGAATTTATGTTACCGCAATGAAACATTTACTACTGAACATAATACATAGATTTACACTTCTCAAATGAGACCATCACTGGCAGCTGACAGGAGAGAAACCCAGTGCAGTACACACCGACAGGCTACCTAACCCTTTGGGCATTAAAATAGCAAGCCTGTGGGAACAGGCCGGTCAGTCTAACATCGGTAGTTTGTAAAATGCTAGAGGGCATAATAAAGGATTATCTGGTAGAATTTGTTCAGGAAAACGGGATAGTTAATGACAATCAGCACGGGTTCAGGAAAGACCGTTCCTGCCTAACTAACCTGCTAACTTTTTATGAGGGGGTGAGTAGAGATATGGACGGAGGTAAGCCGGTGGATGTGGTATATCTGGATTTCTCAAAGGCTTTTGATACGGTACCACACAAACGCTTGCTACACAAGCTGAGGGCTATTCAAGCTGCAGGTTTATTCGATTGGGACCATGCAGGAACCCAATAGACAGCTAAGGCAGCTGCAAGTTCAAGATCCTAAAAGTGTAATATTTAAAGGTAAGATTCATCCCACCTTTCAGGTCTGTCTCCATGGGCTCTGCTGCTGGAGGCTTCTCTTCCTTCTCTGCCTCCTCTGGTTTTACCTCTGCCGGGGCAGCAGGAGATTTGCTCTCTGTTGTGGGTGTTGGTGCAGCTGCCACTGCCGCTGCCACTGCAGGTTGTGTGCTCTGCTAAAACAAGAGAAGACATCAGAGGTGTTAATGTAAGCCTGTGAAGGAGAGTCAGACTCCAGAGTACCAACAGAAAAGGTATTAAAAACAAAGTGCTGCTAAAGTCACTTAAAGGATACTTTTCCCGAGAGAAGCATGGAGGCCGTCATGGCTGACATGCTAGGTGCCTGGCTGTGCTGGCCAGGTGCTCATGACCCAACATGCCAGGAAGTGCCATTTTGTAGCTGAATTATGCAAATATCTTTGCTTAGTAATATTAAATTGCAGCAGGCAATGCTTCTGAGCGTGCATCCAATACAGATTGCATGACTGTCTTGGCAGTGAGGGCAGGATGCAGTGGAATGTGACAGGGTCTCTAAAGAGACAACGCTGCTTATAGCAACTCACCTCTGTATTTTCCTCTGGGGGTTTGGTTTCCGCTTCTGGGGCCTCCTCCTTTGGAGCACTCTCTTCAGTTTTTGGAGGCTCAGCAACAAAAAAAAAAAAAAAAAGGACAGGATATATCAGCTAAAATGCCATCAACAATTGGACACCTCTGCTTTCACCCTAACAAGGCAATGTCAGTTGAATTGTAAGTGGTTGCTATGGGTTACAGCACTTCGCCTAACTAAATAAGGTAGCCATGTCCTGTCGAGCCTTTAAGGGAGAGCACTTTCCTGTGTGCGGCCCTCCTAAACAGACAGGTTTACTGTACGTCCAGCCAATATCTCCCACAAATCATGGAAGTAAAAAGGGGAGTCTATAACCAAGACTGGACACAAGTCACATGGCTCAACACCATCATCATTAACTTTCTATTTAAAACCTAGAATATAGAGAGGAACCCACTGCAAGCAGATTCATATTTTATTCTGCCTGTTAGATGGAATTATCAGGCAAAGTAACCGGTTCACTTTACACTAGGAACCAAATGGAGGAGCAGCAGCATCATCACACAGAGGTGTGTAAAGGCCCCCAATAGAGAGCTTGAATTACGAGTTGTGTCTCTCTTAAGTTTTTGGGGGCTAATCTAAAAAAAAAAAAAAAAAAAGGACAGGATATATCAGCTAAAATGCCATCAACAATTGGACACCTCTGCTTTCACCCTAACAAGGCAATGTCAGTTGAATTGTAAGTGGTTGCTATGGGTTACAGCACTTCGCCTAACTAAATAAGGTAGCCATGTCCTGTCGAGCCTTTAAGGGAGAGCACTTTCCTGTGTGCGGCCCTCCTAAACAGACAGGTTTACTGTACGTCCAGCCAATATCTCCCACAAATCATGGAAGTAAAAAGGGGAGTCTATAACCAAGACTGGACACAAGTCACATGGCTCAACACCATCATCATTAACTTTCTATTTAAAACCTAGAATATAGAGAGGAACCCACTGCAAGCAGATTCATATTTTATTCTGCCTGTTAGATGGAATTATCAGGCAAAGTAACCGGTTCACTTTACACTAGGAACCAAATGGAGGAGCAGCAGCATCATCACACAGAGGTGTGTAAAGGCCCCCAATAGAGAGCTTGAATTACGAGTTGTGGGTGGCCATGCAAGCACCCCTGGCTTGACAAAAGTGGATTCAGTCACTATTTAGCAGTGCCCTAGTCAGACATGCGTGCCGCAGCTGACTGAATACAATAGACAACATTGGAGACTTCTCCATCTGTGCCGTTAGCTTGGATGGGGGGGAATTGACTGACTTCCAGGCCCTGTATGACCGTCTTTACTAAAACAGAACACCTTCCTCTCTCCATCACCTACAGAGAATGTGCTCTTTAGTCTAGCAGCATAAAACTCAGAGGGGGCAGAGGATTCTATATACGCAATTGATTTCAGCAGGATCGACAGGTTTCTGAGTGAAAAGATAAAAGACTAATTTGATATCTGAACAAACCAAAAGGAAGCAAAATTAGAGACGATCATCATTCCGGTTGATATACACACACACACACTTTAAACTTTAACAAATCCAGCTCACCAGTTGCAGGGGTTGGAGCTGGTGTATTGGGCTGTGTATCCCCTGGTGTAGACGGGGTTGGAGTTTTGGGTGATGGAGAGTCAGCAGGAGAATTCTTCTTGTTCTCCTCTGCTTCTGCCAGTTCCGGCATACTCCAGCGCCCATTCACATGCTCAAACTCTTGAACCTGTAAGAGAAAAATGGCAAGAACTTTAAGAACAAGCCACATTTTCAGACTGAATCAATATATTTTAAAGCATATCTGTCTGATGCGAGAATCAATTCGAGAACCCAGACAGTGTTGTACAAGTCTTTTCCATTTACAAAAAGGCACACAGAAGAAACTGACCTTTTTACGGATGAGGGACATAACGCCAATCCTGGTTAACACATGTTGGCGGGATAGACCTTCTCTTGGGACTCCATCTGCAAATGTCTCCGCCCCATCTGCCCCGGGTTCACAGAGATGACGCATGAACAATGACACATATGCCCTGGGAAATAAGATGGGAGAAAGTTTTACAGTATTCTCTATAATGAAGGCAGATTTAGGAAAAAAAACCAAGATCAATCATTATGGATGACATTACTATGCGCATGTTACATAAGGGGTATAGGGGATTAAAAGAACTTAAAGGTTTCTAAACTGGGGAACAAAAAATGTAATATATTGCACCTCACCAGTCCTTAAAATGTGGTGGTTGAATTAGTTACTCCAGTAATACGATTCCTATTCTAGGGATGACATCGCTTACCCACTGTAGTGTGTGTGTGTGTGTGTGTGTGTGTGTGCGCATATACACACACAGGGCTTGAAAAATTTTTTTTTTTAGAAAACATATATTCTTACCCATATTTTTGGTAAAATATAAAATTAAATACGGGGGTCACGTCGGGTAAATAGACAAACATGTAAAGCCTTAAAATTGTGCACGCCCGAAAAAAAAAAATCACAAAAAAACGACCACACTGAAAATTGCCCATAGGCAACGCTGTTATTGCTTATCAGTTTAGCGTTATCGGTAATGAACGGCCCTAAAACGATTGCTCTCACTCAGACGTTCGCGGCGATATGCAACATGTGCGGCACAATAGGAGCAATTGTCCTTTTCGCACCCAACGCATATCTGTGTTTGTATGTGGGGGGCAGGGGAATTAAAAAAAAAATGTGGGGTTTTTAAGCTTTAATTTTTGTATTTTTTTTCACACAACTTTATTGCTATTACATAGTGGGTAAGAAACCCCCTATGTGATAGCCAATTTACATGACAGGTCCTCTTTATGGAGACATCAGGGGTCTCCAAGACCCCTAACGTAACCTAGGGACCCCCAGAGAAGCTGATGAAGCACAGATCTGCTTCATCAGCTTCTGTAGCTGGAGTGTGACACTGAATGCAGGAAGTGATGCAATATACATCACTTCCTGCATTCCGGGACTGAGAGGAGATCAAAAGGGAGATTGTGTACCGAACTCACTTTGTTCTCCTGTCACAGAGCAGCCGTGCCGGTCGCGGCCGCATTGAGCACAGCGGATCTCGGGACCGGCAACGGCAGTGACAGCTGCTCCTATACAAGCAATCGGGCGTCCCTAGGGACGCTCGATCGCTTGAATGTAAAGCTCCCAGCCGGCCGTGTAATTACAACGGCCGGCCGGGAAGCTACTCGTCGAGCAGATTTTTCAAGACCTGTATATATATCAGCAGTGTTGTCACCGTAGGATAAGTCTGTTAGGATTACAGAACACCTCTTCATAAAACTGGAGAGCCGTTCTGTAGCTCAGAGGCAACATGAACAGGACTGACAATATTTGAGAACACTACAGAGTGCACAGGGCAGGACTAGTTTTCTGGCAGAATTGACAGGCTGTTTGCCCTTCCCGATCAGACAACAACATGCTAACAAATGGTATATTTTTAACAGACCAAAAAGACGCAAATAAGTTTTTGTTTTTCCACAAAAGGGTTCCTTACTTAAACTCCTTCTCTGATTTTCCACGCAGATCTCTCACAAGCCACTGAGTGGTAAAGGCATCCTGAGGCGGCATTCCATAGCGCATAATGGCATTCAAGAAGGCCTTTCTCTGTCTGGCATTGAATCCTAATACCTGGGAAGAACAAAGCACATGGCAGGTTACCTCATAGCTCTTATAGAGCACAGGTCCAATCTAACAGACCTGGAAAACTGAAGTCCCAGATATATGCACATACCTCGATATTGCCTCCCACACGAGCCAGTAGTGGAGGGAGAGGTTTGTCCTTGTCATTTCTCAGGCCTTTCCTGTTGGGTCGACGAGCTGCTGTGGATGGAAGATGTGTCAGAGCACAGGGGAATGACAGCATAGGTACAAGGCAGAAGGTCCACCCAATTAAAATTGTAATTGGGTAGTTAACTCTCTAAGCTAATCCTGTAGACCTGTCGGAATTAGGGGTGTTTTGCCTCACTGGAGTGACACATCTTTCTTCATAGAAACATAAAAGCTGTCCGCACACCAGATTCCACTGGAATAGTTTATTGAAACTTGTGGCACATCATTGGTGTCCCGCTAAGGTCCGCCCCTCTAAAGAGTTTCACCCTATCAGGGGCTTTATCGTAGAGATCTATGACTAAGCCTGTGGACTGGGACCCCAGTGATGTGGTACAAGCTTCAATAAACTATTCCAGCAGAATCTGTTATGTGGCCAGATTTTCTTCTGTATCTATGGGCTCATATTGGAGTGAGGACGTGCTCCCAGCGGCAATTACCTGGCTCATTCCTTTCCCTGACCCCGTGCTTCTTTTGTGTGTTTGACACATCTGCTATTTATCCTGTTGGCCTTGTCTGATGGATGTGTGCGGACTAAAAGATTGCTATTTAAAAAGCAATGTGCAAGTCACATGGTTCCAAGGGGGGGGGTTTCCCGAACCTTATGCAAAACTTTTATTAACACTGGTAGTGGGCTTACCTCTGCACTGTAAGGGTTAACTGCTCAATGGATCAAGCGGCTTTCCCTTATGGATTTTATGTCACATGCATTTTGCAAAGCACTTTTGTGAGCACAAGTCAAATTTTCCAATAAAGTTTTTTTTTGGGAAGATAAATCACATAAAAGCTGTGCTATCTGTTCTATAGGGTCATGCCAAGATTTCCCAGTCTGGAGACCACTGCAAGGCCCTGGATATTACAGGCTATGGTTTTAACACTCAAATGAACACTGGATGGAAGTACTTTAATAGCAGCATGTTATTCTTTATTTGCTCGACCGCTGACATCGACTCGTGCTTACCTTCTGATCGCTCATCAAAGTCTTCATCGCCTTCTTCTGATGCCGCAGAATAATCAGACTGGTTATCGGACTGATCATCCTGCCAATCTAAAAAAATTAAATAAATATGGATCATTAAAAAAGGCAATTAACACACGAGACCAGAGACTACAGAAGAGTTTTCAGCATTAACATAGCACAACAGTGGCATGTGGGCCTGTTCCTCACCTCTGTCCTCTTGGCTGCCGTCATTATAATTGACTTGCTTGCGTATTCTCTTTCCTTTGCCCAGATTTCGCGCCAGGTCCTCCTGCTGCTGCTCATAATGATGGCGGAGAAGCTTCTCCCAGTAGTCTGGATCCACGCTCTCCTCCTGCTTGATGATCTCACGGACAACCTCCTCTTCCTCCTGAGCAGGGACCAGAAAGATGTAATAGCTGTCCGAGACTTGGCCCTCACATGGCCCCAACATGATTGTGCGTGCATGCATACTGTACAAATATACATAAGGAATCCCCCTCCAAATGTACATGTCCTGTCGAGCCTTTAAGGGAAATGCACCTTTCTGTGTGCAGCCCTCCTAAACAGACAGTTATACTATATGTCCGGCACTGGACGCCCCAACATTAAGATGTATAGGGCTGTTTGAGCAGGACAACAAAGCCTGAAATCAAGCAATCCAGCATGATCAGAACTTCAATACAGTATTCTATAAGTCTTAAAGGTCCGTAATTTACAATCCAATGATTTTAAGCTGAGACAATGGGTGTGCTAATCTTCAAAATGGACATTCTGATCTTGTGGAAGCCTGTCTCTCTAGGGGCTTGGAGACTTAGCATTCCCATTGGATGCCATCTCTTGGCAGACAGGAGCTGGACATTCTGAGACTGTAAAGGTGGTTAAGCCAGCTTACCCAATAGCACTGTACCAGTATGGGAGGGTACTAATACTGCAAAAGCTATGATTGCGATACGTGTGCCATGTTTTGGTAAACAGATCATTTTATTATGTAGGGATTAATGTCAAAACAGGACTAAAGCATATTATTGCTTAAAAAACTCTGCCTTGTAATCACGGGTGAAAACTGATGCAGAGATATCATATTTGTATTGATTTCTGTCAAAAAAGCTGAACATTTGATGGCAGTATTGTTTTTGACCAACGTCTAACCTGCATTGTGTGAACAGTTTTTATCCATTTCAGTGGATCGGAACACTTTAAAGAAACTTTCCACTTTTGCAAGCAAATTTGGGAAATTCACTCTGTGTGCCATGTGTTCCAATTCACACAGTACACCTAAAATAGGTTTTTTGAAAATCATTTTTTAGCCTTTAGACGTGTGTGTAGCTGAAGTGTTTTTCAAACTTCTTTCTCAATTTCCTCTGGCTGTCCCCATGGAAAGACTGAGGACAGATTGAGCTTCTCCTCATCGACACACAATGTTCCTAGATCATTCGTTAGGACAAACTTATTGCAAATAGTTTACAATGGACAATGATATATATGCCAGCACTATACAGTGTTAATTCTGTTAACATTAACCTGTTCAGTCTCTATCTCTTCCCCCCCCCCCCCGCATTCCAGAGCTAAACTCCATACAGAGAACAATTTCTCTTTCAACAGAGCATGAATTGTACAAGCAGCAATTAAACAAAAAAAGTTTTAAGATGGTAAGGGAATGAGAAACATGTGACAAATATAAAATAGGAGTCTCAATATGGCTGCAAAAGTGGAAATACACTTTAATATGAACCATGAAATGATCAGCCCCCAATAAAACCGCATAAGTTACTCACTGCCATCTCCTCTTCTCGGACGACGTACTGAGCCACCTTAAAGGAGCTCAGATATTCGTTCATTCCTTGAATCTCAGTGTCTTCTATTTGATGATCTTGGTTCCTGTCCAGTAGCTTATCGATTGCTCTGTCATCGTAGTGAATAACACTGATGTCTTCACCCTCTTTATTTTCACCTAAGATTACACAAAAGGTGTAAACAGCTTGCATGGTATAGCAGTCATTATAGTTTGAAAAAGCTTCTTTTATGGAACTACTTACATGACTTTCCTTCTGTCGCTTCATCTTTAAAGAGCTCCTCAGTACCAAACTTCAAGATATCGTCCAGTTCCTGCTTGGACATTGACCCAGTTTTGGAACCGAGACCCGGCCTTACCACCAAGTGGGTCAGCATCATCTTTTTCTTTGCTACCTGAGTAATCCTCTCTTCTACAGAGGCACGAGTAACGAATCGATAGATCATGACCTTTTTGTTTTGTCCTATACGGTGAGCTCTGCTGAACGCCTGTTGAAAAAGAGCATATAGTGAGCCACAAGAACATCTTGCAGCACAACAATGCCATGTGTTCCTTCAAATAACCTGCTAATTTGTGTAGCATTCTGCTCTATAATGCATGGACATAAAGCTTCCAGGCACCTTCCTCCTTTCTTCACAGCTGCTTCAAAATACTCAATGCTTCTCCATCCCCATGATGCAATAATTGGGCCTTGTCTACAATCACTAGGCCTGTAAACTGTCACATGACAGAATTGGGCAACATCACCCCTGGTATTTTATTGCAGCTGCAGCAAAGGAAGAAGTGGTGAGTGTAGCGCTCTCAAAATGAATATAACTGGGTCAGGTGATGATCCGGTCACTTTCAATATATGTAAAGCCGTACTCAGCCAGAACCTCGATGGAATATTGTCAGGAATCTACAATGTTACAAGCATGACAAGCAGAATAAACGTTTTCACATCACGGTCCTGGCTGCCGAGTGCAGCTCTACATACATTGTACCATTACTGGTGATGCCTGTGGCATGCCTCTTATGGCCGGCACCTGGCCTTTTGGATGGGACTGATGAGTTTGGGCATATGAATGCAAGTGGTGTCCATTGCTAAACCCTCCAAAATCAACGATGTCCCCTGAACACCATACAGCAATAAAGACCAGTGTTTGAAATAATGGTGGCGAGTGTAGTGATGTCCACGGATGGCGCTATGCATATACAAGGTTAACAGCAATGAGATCACCAGCACTCATAGGATGCTGGTGATCCTCATTGCTGTTAACTTTGCCATGAATGTGCAAGGTGCTCTTTAAAACACAAAACCATAAAACAAAGCACAAGTTTTTAAATGCTTGTGTTTCCATTTCACCGGAATGGCAGATGAACTAGGACTAATCATACATTTCTAAATACCAGACATAAATCACTGTAAGATGCTCAAGAAAAAAAAAAAAAGAAAAAAACAATTGATCTAACAAGGTAAGTAAGGTAGACACAGAATAAAGACAGGTTATCATACAGGAGTGGAGGAATAGTAGATAAGATCAATGGAGGAGTATGTAAAAAGTGTAGTAAGATGATTTGGAAATATGATGAGGCTTGTGAGGGGGAAGTGCTAAAGGCCAGTTTTATCCAATCACAATTGGTGTAGAGTTCAGTAAACCGAGGTAGAGCATTTCCTTACCTGAATATCATTGTGAGGGTTCCAATCCGAGTCATAAATTACTACAGTATCAGCTGTGGCGAGATTGATTCCCAAACCTCCAGCACGAGTGGACAGTAGGAAACAAAACTGCTGAGCGCCAGGAGCTACAAGACAGAGGAATGCATGATTACATCAAGTACAACGCTAACCAATTAGCGGCAACAGTTTGCAGCATCAGATGTTACTAAATGCAGGCCGCACTGCAGTCTTCTGATCATGGCAAGATGAAGTGATCATTGAGGCAAGGCTTGTTAGACACTAACCGTTAAAGCGATCAATGGCCTCCTGACGCATGTTTCCGGTAATTCCACCGTCTATCCTCTCGTATTTATATCCCTCGTGCTCCATGAAGTCTTCCAGCAGGTCTAACATCTTGGTCATCTGAACACAGACATGGAAGGTCAGGCACACTGAATTTTAAAGAATGGCCATTGCTTTAACACTAGAACATTTTACAGGCTCAGCAGCTGTAGCCAAATGGGGTAATTCATGTTTGGCAATTCACCATCATTGTTCTTCTAGGTCACATTAAACTGGTGTTTTACCAATTACAGAAATCCTTTAATGATGTCACATTGTTTATTCACCGCTTACAGAACTAATTTCATAGTAATCCTTTCCTCCCTGTTAAAGTGCATTTACAGCCAATATTTTTCTTATTGCTTTGGATTGAGTAGGGAAAGGATTAAAGCAGTTGGGTCTCGGAGGAAAAAATCCCCCTGTATTTGTCCTGACTATTGTCACTGGCCCAAAAGAAGATGGGTAAGTAACTTTTTACAACTGTTCCTGAAACAGGAGATTAATCTACACTTCATTTAGACCAGTGGTTCTCAACCTGTGCAACCACCGGACCCACATTTGTCCATGATCATTAAGTTGTGACCCAAGTCGCACTGCAATGGAACACACGGAATTGCGGCACTGAGTAGTCTGGTGCAGGAGATGCATTTGGGGTGCCATTCAAATAAATGGCAACGCACCTCCCACACCAGAATGCGTAGTAGATGCAATTGCATGGTACAGTGAGATAACGGCATGGGACTGTTTGATTAACGCACTGTACTAGTGTGTACAGGCCCTCAACAACACACACACACACACACACACACACACACACACACACACACAGTCTCCTTGCCTTACGAGAACAGGAGTAGATCCTCAGCCTGGGGTCCAGTGTGGGCTGCTGTGCTGGAGCTCCATCTGGACACGCGAGGAAACTGTAACCAATGTACATATAGATGGAGCTCCCTCACAGCCATACCCCCAGCCCATCCCACCTCAAGCTGACACTCCTCACCGAGCAGTGTATTTTAAATGGCTGCTTGGCGCAAGAACTGATAGTGCTGCACTAGGGGGAGGCTGAGGAGCCTCTCAACTAGAAAAGTGGAAGGCACGCGGCGACCCACCAGTTGAGAACTAAGGGTTTAGACTACAAAACTTCTTATTTATAAAAGGCATCTTAAAAAATCAGTCAATCATTGTCCTTCTATTACAGGCACATGTGAACAGCTCTAACCTGGGAAAAGATGAGCACTCTGTGTCCATTATCCTTCAGGTTCCGCAACATCTTTTGCAGCAGCAGCAGCTTCCCAGCTCCTTTGATGAGGGCGCTGCCATCATACATCCCATTGGGCATCTTGGGTGCTTCCTGTGAAATAATGCATTCAATCAGTAACAGTCAAATCATTCATGCCTTTCTGAGGCCAAGACAACTGTATATTCATGCATAGAGGACATCTTTGCTCTTACCATAGCAGCCACAGGGAAGAGGTATGGATGGTTGCAGCACTTCTTCAGATCCATCACCACATTGAGCAGAGATACTTGGTTACCACCTCCCCGAGTATTCAGAGCCTCAAAGTTTCTAGTAAGGATGAACTTGTAGTATTTCCTGCAATTGTGGAAGCATTAGTGGCTGCACAGGAGTCTTATGGCTCCAAGACCATTGACTACTAAGTCATTGTACGACTACTTACTTCTGCATGGGGCTAAGCTCCACACGCACAATGAGCTCAGTCTTAGAGGGCATATTCTTGAACACGTCAGCCTTCAATCTTCTCAACATGTGAGGACCCAGCATGTCGTGCAGCTTCTTAATCTGATCTTCTTTGGCAATATCTGCAAATTCCTCCAAAAAGCCCTCCAAGTTGCTACAGAAAGAAAACACTGTTACAGAAAGCCTAAGGAATACCTGCAGTTAAAGGGCAAGTCAAAAGGTCTAAATACTATGCGACCAGCAAAAAGGTTTGAAAAATATAAAAATGCAGTCTACCCACACATGCTCTGTGTGATCATATGTCTTCACAGACTAGGAAGGGCAACTATCATTAACAGAAGTACAAGAAATGATCAAAAGTTCTTGCCTCTGCACCCTGCAGCACTGTCTTGGTTAACATACCTAAGTGCTTGTTCACTAAACACCAGGGAACAAGGGCTACAAAAAAAACCTCACTCCATGGTAGGTGAAGCTACTGTCGGTGGTGTCACAAATTTTTACCAATCAATGATGCATAGCTTAAAGGTACGTGTCAAACTCAAGGCCCAGCGGCCGAATCCGGCCCACCAGGCCATTTCCTAGACTTCTACTTTCAGATCTAGGAATTAAGTGATTACTAAAACCAGTGATAAATCGAAGGCAGAGGCAATTATGGTAAAGATTAGATACATTTATATAGTCTTACAGGGCAACCATAATGTTGATGCGGCCCACGATAAATCGAGTTTGACACCCCTGGCTTAAGGGTTCCACAGACTTTCTTTACATGTTCCTCTACCTTTACCATCATAGGTAAGGGTGAAAGGAGCACCATGTGGGTGGGAATGCCAAGAGCTCAACTGCAGGGATGTTCAACCCCTGAACCTGAAGAGAAGCCTACCAAGCCTACCTATAAAAAGTAGGCAAGCTGCTGTGATCTGTTTGAAACTAGCAAAAAGAGAATGGCGCACATGGGCAAGACAATATACCAATACACCATGGGCAAATGTACCCATGACAACACTACTACTTGTACACATACTTGAAGCGCTCTGGCGTCAAGAAATTAAGCAGATGGAACAATTCCTCCAAATTGTTCTGCAGGGGGGTTCCTGTGAGAAGCAACTTGTGCTGAAGACTGTAGCCATTCAGAACTCTGAAAAACTGAAAACAGAGCCCATGTTAGCAGTGACAGAAAATGACACCAAACTCAGAATATTCCTCATTAGCCAAACTAAAGCTTGCTTACCTTGGACTGGTTGTTTTTCAGACGATGAGCTTCATCCACCACAAGACAGGCCCAATCAATGGAGCCCAGTACAGCCATGTCTATGGTAATCAGCTCATATGATGTCAACAGTACATGGAATTTTACTGAAGCCTCTTTCTGTAAAGCAGACAAAATACAGCAACATAAGGGCAGGCCATCCTTTCCAACATAACAAAGATACAATAGAAACAGATGCAGCTGTTACAAACCTTCATGCGTGAAGCTTTCTTGCCACCTCGGATCGCATTGTCTTCAAACGAAAACTCGTTCTCTCGAATGACGGCTCGGCTGTCCTTGTCTCCAACATAAGTGACAACGTACATGTCAGGAGCCCACATCTCAAATTCACGCTCCCAGTTGATGATGGTAGAAAGGGGTGCACTGACCAGGAAAGGACCTTTAGAGTGACCCTGAAATGAACAGAAAAGTTAGACTGCATTTGGGTGTGAAAAAAAAAGGGACAAGAATGGGAGTTAAAAACCTCACTTTAAAAAAACAAATAATTCAGTGATTTCTCAACCAAGATAAATCAACGCAAAATGCTTAAGAATGAAGGTTTAAATAGTCCTCTACCTCAGAAGTGCAAAAACCTTGAAAATGCCTGAGAGTTCTTGCGGTGTCCTCACATGGATCTTACAGAGGGTTTGACTCCCAACTCTGGAGTGATGGGAGTACACCTTTAAGAGACTGGTCACTTTGCCTGCACTTTCTTTAGGCAGCCTAGGACTGCACAAAATGATTACTGGGGTCTGTCCAAAATTTGCCACAGACAATGCTGGCACAAACCACAGCGAAGGACTGACTTGCTCTCAGGATTGTACGTGCTTCACCGCTTTCAGTAAATTAATAGTTTGAAAAGGAATTTTGCAAAAACCAAAATACATATGGAAGGAATGCACTGAAATTACATTTTTAGACTGAAACCGAAATGGACTTTCCAACCTTTTTTAAAATATTTTTGTTTTTACTTTACTGCTGGGGGCTATAGGGAAATATCAGGGGTCTAAACAGACCCCTGATATTTCCCCTTTTAAAATAGAAAGAGATAGAGGACACATTTCTAAAAAAGTTTCTGCAGCCCGTTATGAACAGGAAGCTTCTATACCGAGTGCTCCTGTCCATGCATAAACTGTGGAAATAGTACGAGTTACTATGTCTACAATGATGAATGAACTGATGTAGAGCACTTCCTGTTCATTCATAACTGGGGACATGGTAAGCTTACCATGTCCTCCTTTATTTACAAACACTTAAGAGACCAGTACGGTGTTTGTGCTCCGCTCTCCATCTGCTCCGCCTGTCAGAGTAGGCCAAGCTCTCCTCCCCTCCCCCTCCGCCCCGCTTGGCCTCCTGCCCAGAGCGCCGGCAGCTGGATTGGCGGTGTCCCCTCCAATTTTTTGCTGCCTCCAACACAGGCAGGGGAGAGCAGCAGGGATCAGAGGGGGACACAGACTGGCGCCTAGTGGGGAGGAGAGAAGCTAAGGAGATGCAACGCATTTTCGGCCGTTTTGGTACTATAGGCATTTTGCCCGTAGTGCCATTTTCGACCAACATCCACAACATTTAGTTTACTGACCAAACAAGTTATGGTTTAGAAAGACCCCAACTCACCTCTTTATAAAGAGAGTACAAGAATACTGCAGTCTGCACAGTCTTGCCCAAACCCATTTCATCTGCAAGAATAGTATCAGTGCCCTGTGCCCAGGAGAAGCGCAGCCAGTTTAATCCTTCTAGCTGGTAGGGGTGCAGGGTTCCTCCAGTACAATCCAAGAACTCTGGCTGGCGGTCATATTTCACTGTGGGCTGAGAGAAAACAGGCTTATGAGAACCAAAAGCACAGCATTACAGGTCTCCAGAGAAACCATACACACTAGGCAACTTACATCCACAATTGGGGTGTCTGGAGGTCGCTCCATCTTTCGGACTTTAACTTTCCTAATTTTTTTGCCAGGTCGTCCTTCCTCACCACACATTAGATCCCTGTAAAAATCAGGAAGGGTTTAGATTTAAAAAATGCAGCACACTATGGCGAATAGCAGCAGGTACCTGCCACAGGGGCTAAACACTCACCTGTGATTCCAGTAACCCTGCTTGTATATGTCATAGTCCTGAATATCTGCATCTTCTAACTCCCAAGATGCCTGATCATATGCAAGGTCTCTCCACTTAATCAGGTAATGTACATTGTTCTTCTTGTCCACACTGAGGAAACACAAAGTAGTTAAAGCAGCAGTAATTATTTTACAAGCTACACTTTAAACGCTGAACACTGGGACACAAGCTAAAACTGGACTATGTTCAAGGCTACCCAAGGGTCACATTATGTGTGCAATCTCCCTAAAGTTTTGTCACCCCATCTTACCTGTGGTTCAGTACTCTGTGAATCATTAGCCACTCAGGCTTGATACCATAGCGAAAGAATTTCTCTTCCAGTTCCAGATACTTTGGATCTTTGTTTTTCCTCTTGCGGCTCTTCTCTTCTTCATCTACTCCATAATCTCCAGCAGGAGGCTCATCCATGTCGTTCTTTCGTTGGTAGTTTCTGAACATAACCTGACAGTGCAGCTCCAGCTGTAAAGAGGGACAGTAATAAAGAAACATTTTTTTTTTTAAAGGTAGAAATATATATAAAAATTTTTTTTTTTAAATGTATAACCTGCAATCACAATTGAATAAAAGGTATACATTTCATCATAATCCACAATCAGCGACATGTCTAAAAACACATTGGCAACTAAAATTCACATTTCTGCAACCTTTTTTTCTGAATTTGTCAGAAAACCTAATCTACCCTAGCTCATTTGCAGACAGTACCCAAGATGTTTGGCTAATGACACATACCTGCAGTTCTGTCACCCAAGAGCAATGCAGATAGGACATGCCCTGCCACTTGACAAAGAACTCGCGCTCTGCTCTGCCCTCCAAAGGTTTCAGAGGGGGAGCATCAAGACCGGCACCTGCTGGTTTGGGCGCAGGAGTGGCAGAAGGTGGCTGCCCCCACTTCCATATCAGGATTTTCTGAATTTTTCCTTTCAATGATGGACACTAAGACGAAGCAAACAGCAAGATTTAGGACAAAAGCTCTGCATTTTGACATCAGGACTAAAGAGCACTTAAAAAAATAAAATGACATACTGTGCATCTTGGGCACAACCATTCTCCATTGGGTATCTCTGGCAGTGGTGGGTTCAGACAGTGAATGTGATAGGAGGAAGGACAGACGTCGCAGCACAGTAGTTCACCTCCATCCTTACACACTCGACAGAACTCCATGTGGTGATCCTCCTCCTCAGGGTCACCTACGGTCTCGTCCAAGTCATCTTCCTCAGAGTTATCTTCCTTCGCTTCCCATTGTACGCCCTCCTTTTCCTGTAAAACAAGAAATCAAAAAGTCTGTATATATATATATATATATATATATAGAAAGAG